AGCCGCTGGGGAAAACAAAGCGGGAGGCAGGGGTGCGGGCCGGGGAGCAGGGCGGGCTCTCGGGCTCTGCGTTAGCGTCGCTGAGGTTTGGGTGTGTTGTTTTGGTTTGGTTTTTTTTTCCTTCCCTCCTGGAAGTTTCCTTCCTCCTTCCCTTTCTCCACCCCTTCCCCAGTCACTGCGTTTCCTTCCCCTTGTGTCTCCTGGTTAGGACTCCTACTCCATCCCGTCTCCTGAGAGAGGATAGTCTGCTTCCTGCAAGGCCAGGAGAGGTCACTGACAAGAATAATACACTTTTTCTCCCCAGAGCTGGGAATGATTTGGCAGTCTGGTCTTCCTGGCACATGCATCGGGTGTAGGCAACCCATAGGAGAGAGATGGAGGACCAAGAGATTTCAGGGCAGTGTTAGAGCTGAAGAGATGTTGGAGCTCCCAGATCTCTGCTCCATCCTCTAATGGCAAGACTTGGGTTTATCTGGGGCAGTCATCGTGTTCCCCGACCTTGCTCCCATGGAAGCCCAAGTTAGAGATCGCTTCCCATATCCCGTTACCTCATGTGGCAGGGCAGCATGAGCTGCTCCCTGTACCGCAGTGAAAGCAACAGATCTGCTCCTTAAACTGATGTAAAGAAATGGTTCTTCTAATAAGCGACTGTGCTAAATCATCACTGCTGCCTCGCACTGTTCCTGCTTGCACACACAGATTCAGGATAAAGAGGAAACAGGGGATTTCTGAAAGAGAAACCTCAAACTTCAAGAGTTAGCTTTAATTTAAATACATTTCAGTTTTAAAAGGGGTCAGCTAGAGGAGTTTCACTTAGCAGATGAAAAACCCAGGATAATTCCTGCAACATTTTGCAGAAGAAGCCTCGGGACAGTGTCTCTGAAAAGGATGGTAGAACATCCTTCATGTGTAAAGCCCTGGTAAGCCTCCAGAGTATGAAGAATGTCTGGAGAGTGGATACATGTACCAAACCTGTGCCTTTGCCCTTCCTAACTTGGGAGCAGGTGGGTGCTCTGCTGTGCTGGTCCCATACCGTGTCTGGACCCTCCGCTAGAATTGAATTGGCTTTTCCAGAGCCCTAACAGCCGGGAGGTTTTCTGAGGGCACATCACCTCTGGGAAGAATTGCCCTAAGTCAGAGCTCCCCACTGATTGCACGGAGACCGCTGCATTGCCGCTCAGCAGGAGCTCTTTGGGGTATTTCCAAAATGCTGCGTGGTGCAGTGGATACTGAGCTGGGCCCAGCAGCAGCGCCCAGTGTCCCTGTACAAGTCGGTGAGAATTCTGAGTAGATGCTTCTGAACTCGGGTGCGTTCAAAAGTTTCCTGAACACATCGACTGCGCAGCGCTGCTCCTCCACCAGCTCACCATCTCCACTCTGCCAGCTTCTCCAGGAGTCCGAACGGCTCAGGGAGTGTCCAGACAATCCAGACTAAACTTTGGTGGAAATGTATTTTAACAGGGAAAATAAAATGCATGATACAGACGTACGTTTGTAAACAAGTTGATTTTAAACAGGTTGTACTGGCGTACACCGACTCCCTATAGCACAGTAGTATCACATCCATTGCTGTTCCAGCCTCCAAAAAAACCCAATCCAGACAAGCTTTTAGTGGTCCTTGCAAGCATCAGTTGATGAGGTTTTGGCACTTAAAATCTTTAGATGAGAATCTGTTTGTGGCCAAGCACTGCCTGGAGTTTCCTCCACTGCCCCATTGATCTGCCCTCTCTGCTACTGAGGGTTCAGAAGTTAATTTCTGCTCCAATTCATTGGGCTCTTCCATAGCAACAAATAAGAAAGTTTGCCTCGGCAAACCTTAATGTATTTGTGTGTTCACAGTGCGGCCACACATCTATAAGTTTATCTAGTCTGGGGTTATGTATGTGTTCTGTTTCACTTTTATCATGTTAGAACTGATGAATGTGCTGTTTTGTTATCTAAACTAGGTCAGCGCGTTATTTTAGCTACAGAGTTGTAATATGCAGCATCACTGTAAATAGTCCAGGTATTTGGCAGCATAACGTTTCATTACAGATTCGCTTTTCTCTCAAGATAAAGAGTTTCAAGTAAAATAGGCGATTCATGACATTTTATTTACTTAATAATTAAGTCTGCCTAGGTTACACCACCTGTGTGTTACTTATACTCTATTTGTCATGTAGTGTTTTCTGCAAAACTTTTACAAGGCATTATAAAATGACAGCAATGGGATAATAAATGCTGGAATAAAATGACACTGGGACACAGGAGTCAATAGGAACGTGATTTCCCATTATCACAGCACACATCTGAAGCAGAAAGCTGTCCTTTAATCTCTCAGCAGAGCTTATTTTAGCCCGGAGCTGTGCTCGGCGGGGCTGTGGTCTGAAAGTGGTGGTGTTGGGTAGGACCGGGGCGCTCGCTCAGCGCAGAAGTCAGCGACTCGGCCTGGCTGCAGTGACCTGCACACAGCTTTTTGGTTGTTCGAAGCACACACGTGTGTGTGAGTGCCCCCGCTGCAGAAGTGCGATTTTGGGCACAAGCTTTTGGAATAAGTAAAGCTCTAAATACAGCTGTTCTTGAGGACTTTATACTTTTTGTCCCAGTTTGACCTCTATGGCGGTTGGTGACAGCTGCTCTCGACACACAGTGTCCTGACACGGATGCCACTCAAGGCTTTCCATACAGAACAATTTACAGCAGCAGCAGCACGGTTTTGTCTGGTGTTTACTGTGTGGAGCTCTGGGCTTCCTGCACTCCTTATTTTACCCTTGTGTTTCGTAACAGAAGTTTAGGCTGGAGATGCTGCTCTTTCAAAGTGAGCGTGCCCGACCCTGGCTCCCCTGGCCCACGCAGTGCGGTGTTTCTGGGCCAGCCATGACGGCCTTTGCTGCCGCTGCCTGGGCCGCGGGAGGCAACTGTTGCTGGTGTTTGGTTATCTTGTCTGACACAGCAGTCCCATTAATTTGGGCCATAAGGAGCCATCCTTTGGGTAACTTGCACATCAAAAATGTTTGGCTCAGCAATTGTCTTCTCACGTATTTACACTCAGCATACAGCAAAAGGAGACTTCAATCGTTGGTTTCTTGATACTGGCATTAGAGAAGTAGATATCATCTAAGCAATTGAAAGTAATCTCATTTAATAGTTCTCTGTAGGAATCGTAGTAGGATTGTTACTAGCTTGATCTGTAAAAAGTCCAGTCAAAGACTTTAATATGTGTAAATATATAAACGTGTTGTCCCGGTCTACCCTTCAGGAATTAGAACTGGTGGAGGATGTCTGGAGAGGGGAAGCACAGGACCTTCTTACCCAAATTGCACAGCTGCAGGAGGAGAATAAGCAACTGATGACAAACTTGTCTCACAAAGACATTAATTTCACAGAAGAGGAATTTCAGAAGCACGAAGGCAAGTTTGATACTTCCAATTCAGTACTTGCTTTTGTTATAAAAGCAATACTTTATCAAAATATTTTGACTGGATATTCTGGTGGTTTTTTTTCCTATAGATTAATGTAGGTCTGGGGTTTGGGCATTTGTCTGTTTGTTTTTTACCTGAATACATTCATCTCAATACATGATGGCACTGAAGATGTGATAGGAGGTGGGGGCAGGAGGGAAAGAAAAGCCTGGAAAAGTTTTTGTTTGGGCGAGAAGCATCTCTGAAGGTAAAGTCCAGCTCCAGGTTTTTTGTCTATCACTTTGTTCTCTTTAGTTTGCATTTTGCAAAAAACATTCTTAAGCCCTCCTTGTGTTTTCTAATACAAACAGAATAATCCATTCAGCAATACTTATTTCACACCATTACGCACAAGAATAAGCACAACTGTTGTTCTGTTCAGGATAACTGTAAAGCAGCAAATCAAGACTTCTTTGTCTGAACTGTATCAGTCCACCAGTGGAGATATTCTAAGAGAATATTGTGATACTCTCCTAGAATAGGAGGGACTGACTTTAGTTGGTTTGCCCACCTTTAGGGTTCCCTCACTTGTTTGGGACTTACGGCCAATTTAGAATAAGTGAAGAGATTTATAATCCAGGGGCTGGGTGAATCCTAAGGAGTTGAAACAACCGATTTGTGGGTAACTCCTGTGCGTAGCGTGCAAGGTCACTGGCCAGCCCGAAAACCAGAGCACGCACTGAGCCATTGCAGCTCTCTGATAGAGCATCAGAAAGAAGGGGATGTCCTTGGCCAGGTGCTGGAGGCCGGGGTCGATCAAAGGTTGCTGTAGGTGCCTGAAACTGTCCAACGCTGCAGAGGCTGCACTTTCTCCCAGCAGCTGAGTGCTGCTCACTGGTCCTGGGGAGGAGTATAATGAAATCTTCAACAAGTGAAGACTTTCAAACCTCTCAAGATCACGACTGTTTTAAAATAAGTGCAACACTTTCGATTTAGGAGTCAGGTAATGGCAGAGATGAGCTCAACGTCAGCCTTAAACTCCATGCAGAATTTCAGAATGGTGGTGGTGAGTCATGGACCATGAAGACTGTGACATCTTGGCATAGAGAACCAGCTTCCCCTTTGTTTTCTTTTCTTTTTTTTTCTTTCCTTGCAGTGGGTATCTAGCTCCCTACAGCTCATGTGCTTGAATTTAAATATAGCCATACTCTCCACGTTCAGCTAGCCAAGCAAATGCCAGGCATGCTTTTCCTGTTATTTTTACTGTGTCTGCCCAAGTATAATAATACAAACAAAACCCATGAACCCATTCCAGAGATCAAGGTCTGGGATCACTGATACTCTTTGGCCAAAATCATCAGTTTAAGTCAAATCACATTAATTTATAGCAATCCCATCTTCTTACTGGGACCTATTATATCAAACCTAACTGTTCTTTTTAGGAAATTCTGTTGTTAATGAATGGGGATATATTTGTCTCAAATGGCTTGTTTGGATAGTGTCAAAAAGCAGTCACGCTGGTTTTTTTGTCTCCATCATTCCATCTGATATGTGTAGAGTCTAGAGGGGCAGGTTTTAAAGCTAAACACTTTGTTATCTGGACTGACTTTGACCAGACTCCAGTCTTTGTGTGATTTAGTGTTGTGCTGATGTCTCCCCTTAGCGGCTGCCCCCTGGGATGAACAGCGTGCTGCCTCCTCCCCAGGCAGTCAGAGGAGTTGTTTTTAGCACAGGCGACAGAGGCCGATGATATGGGTGTGCAAGACTTTAAGATTCAATCCTTGCCAAGTAATAGTCCCATCAGAGTTCAGAGCACCTCACTTCAGCATAGTGAAGATGTTTATGGGAGAGGCAGAGAAAATCCTGTCTGAACAGGAGAGCTCTGAGAGCAGGGCTCCTGTGAAAGGACACGTGGCAGGATACAGACTGCACAGGGAGGGGTTAAAGATGAGTCTGCAACATCCACTAATGCTGCTCCTCCCTGGAACTGAGCACTGCTTGATGGTGCTGACTGATGGGAACATCCTAGTGAAATGCCACAAGCAAACCTGACCCTGTGTGTCAAACAGGACGAGCAGGCTGCTGTTCCACCGGGGATGCTGCTGTCTCAGACCGGCTGTGGTAACACAGACAGGATCTCAACACTCCTGTGAACCTCCGTGCCAGGCTGCTGAGAAGCCTAAAGCTCCCTTCCAAAAGCAGAGGCCAGCTTCTGTTCTAAGTATTTAGGTAGTGGTACAGTGCCACAGGTAAACACAACAGCAAACATAAACATGAAGGATTTTTTGGTTGGTTTTTGTTTTGTTTTTAGCTGCTTGCTTTCTCTTGCTGAAACAATGCTATGATCACAGCAATCCACAGGAAGCTGCTCATAGGATGTGCCTAGGGAAGCCAGCTGGGTGTGCCATTTCAGATCTTGCAGTTATTAAAGTTTGAATCATTTGGAGATAATTACTTTACATTTAGGGCACTTTGTGAGTTCCTTCTCCTCTTCACCAGAGCCTGAGGAAATGGAAGAAGATGTGACTATTTCACAAACACTTCCCACCTTTCCTTTCCCTTCCTCTTGAAATAAAAATGATAATGTAGTGATCTGTGCACACAATTGAAGTCTTTTAGGTTCACCAAATGTTAAGGAGAAAAATGAGCACAGTGGGAGGAAAAGCAGTCAGCACTGAAATCGTACTTTATTCTTTAAATAGCACCTGCTATCTAGAGACCTCAGAGCATCTCAAAGGTACTAATGATTGTAGCTGCACTCACTATTCCTAGCTCCTGCAGGGATGAGACCACCAGTCTGAAGTTTCACTGCAGTCCCTCTGTACCTGAAGGCAAAGGTTTGGATTTGTTTGTTTTTAAATACAGCTGATGTTTTAGGCCCAAGCCCTGAGCCTGGCTGCAGAGGGTGAATCTGGAACCTGCAGTGAGATTTGTGGATGTGGTGGTGATCAGACCTGTGTTGTGACAGGAGAGTGTGGATCTTTTAGAAGAGTGAAGTAGCAGTGTCAGTGTGCTTGTCTTCCCAGGCAGGTATGAGCTGTTATCACAGGGAAGAATTAAAATTACCCCGCAAAGAGCTAGAACCCATGGACCAGGGTCCAGAAACAGAGCAGGCAAGTTGATCACAGAGTTAAAGAAGATGAGTGTGTAGTACTAGAACGTGAACTCCACGTCACTCAGCTCTTTTCTGGGGTTTGACACAGGAAGACGTCCTCCAAGTCCTGGCCAGCTGCGATCCCCAGTCCTTTCCCAGCAGAGCAGGGACCTGTTCTCTGCTGTGCCATAGCTCTGGTCCTTTAGCAAGGAGGGACACACTTCTTATGCCTGCATGGGGACACACAGCTCCTGCAGGAGTGCACATCCACCAGGGTTACTCCCTTTCTCTCTTTCTCTCAGGTTTGTCTCTGCTGTATTATCCATCAGTCAGACTGCAGGTGATCTGTGAGCTGGGGTTCCTAAAGGCACGCAGCCTACACTCTCTTGTGGGAGCAGCTTTGTGTTTCTCTGATCAGGGAAGAACACAACCAGAAAGTCTGAGCTGATGTTAGAAAGTAGAGGCTTGACTGGCTGGATACATTTGATGTGTATGCAGCGTATTTCTGTGGGATGTGGGAATTGCTTTCATACATTAAAAAGGAAGTGGCTTTCCAGCCACCCCAGAGTGGTGAGTGAATTATCATCACTCCGTTTGTAGATGGAGGAAGCTGAGGACCCACGTAACCCGAGTACTTTGCCAATGGTAACAGAACCAGGCAGCAGCAGACCCTGGATTCGAGCTCCTACTTGGACTGGGCTTTGCCCAGGGCAGCCTCACGCAGCCCTGGTCACTGGCGTTCATCTTCACGCCATCCTATGGGATGTTGTGCACTGTGATTTTTTGGTGTTAGTTTAGGACCATCAAACTGCGTGTGCAGTTGTCAGGAAAGGTCAGTGTAGTGGATTTATCATCTCACTGTTAAATCATCTGGTCTGTGTTTGCTCCGAAGAGCCCATCACTGTGGTGCCAGTTCCCAATTCTCTCCGTAATGGCAAATAATGGAAGAATGCTTCCTGGCTTGTGGTTCATGACATTTCTTAATGATTCATAGGTCAGATTTCAGGTTAATCTAATCCTTTATTTTCAAAGAGGATCAATGTTGGATTCTTCACAATGTCCCAAACATCTTTCATCACAAGGGAAATCCCATGTAGTATTTTTCTCTGCAGTACAGTCATTCTAAATATGAATTATCACACAATAGGATGGGAAAAGGGTTGCAAAACGTGAGGAGAAAAGATGTGACCATAATTCCGACTACATTTCTGTTCTAGATTCAGGGTGGGGGTGCCCTCTGAAGGTCCTGCGTCATCTCCCTTTCACCCTACATGAAAGTGGGTTTCAACATAAAACCATGCTAGTCCAGTTCACCTCAGCTGGTTTGGATCTAGGTGCAGTCCACAACACTGACACGTTGTTTAGATCTTGCTGAGGATCCAGACCATCTCTTTTACAGTTTTCACAGGGTCTTGGCCAGCTGATTCTACAGATTATCACAGCGATAACCAAGCTCCCGGGGGACACTGCTGTAAAACTCCTGAGGCAGCGAGATGTAGCAGTGGCACTCCACTGTTATAAATGTTTCTGAGGACAGTCAGTTCCTTTTTTAAGGAGTTTTTGTGCAGTGGCTTCAGAGCAGATTGTGTCATCTGCGTTCTCTGTGACCCTTGAAGCAACTTTTAAAGCATCTCCCAATAGCTTCTCTGTAATTCTATCAGCAGGCAGCTTCCAGAATCTTCACCTGGACATTTCTCACTGTTTTGTTCTCAGTCTCAGCAGCTCCCGATTGTCCTTAGTTTGTTTTCTGTGTTCTTTTTTTAACCAGGAATGTCAGAGAGAGAGCGGCAAGTCATGAAGAAGCTGAAGGAAGTGGTAGATAAACAGAGGGATGAAATCAGAGCAAAGGACCGTGAACTCGGACTTAAAAATGAGGATGTGGAGGCTGTAAGTGGCTCTTAGTCTTCCTATTTCTCTTCTTTCTCATCCGTACTTCCATAGCCTGTTTTAAGTTAATGTAGAATTTATAAGCAATGCCAGATTATTAGTACAGTAACTGAAGTGTCTGGGGTAACCGTGGAGTGTCCAAAATGGTTAGACAGTCTTCAGTGCAGCCACACGCCCTCTGCTGCATTCAGCACGACCAGGTACACTTGCAACGTGACTGGAAACCAGTGTAACAAGGGAGGAAGGACAGGGTGTTTGGTTTGTTTCCTTAAAGGCCTGATACCTGTCCCCTTTCATGGGAAGAGAGCAGGTAACTTGCTTTGGCTTCTTGAATCTCTCTCTGCTTTAGCAGTGCAAACTTCCCCAGCACCCAGAGACCCCCACTGTGGGGGAGTGGGCTACTCTGTATTTTGTGTGTACTCTCTGCAGTTTGGCAGCAGGGCCCCCACACGCACTCCCACAGCAAGGGTGCAATGTGGATCACCCCTTGCACAGGAGGGCAGGAGGAAGGGGCCCAGCCCAGCCAGGGTCACTTGCTTTTGCCAGCAGCGAGCAGAAGGTCCCTGAGAGCATGGGTGGCCCTGGGGACCACAGCACAGGAGACGTGGATTCAGAGACACAGACTCCACCGTGACTTTGGGAATCAGATGATGTCTTGGTTCTCTGTGTCAAGAGGAATGACCACCTTACCCATAATTTGCTTCCCATCCTCACGCTGCCTCATCTCCTCAGACCATGGGACTTGCCTGGTGCTAGCGAGGGCTGGACCAGGATGTCCCTGCTCTCCCCAAGTGCCTTGGCGGGTGCTGTGGCCTTTCCAATCGGTGCTGTCCGTGCTGTGCTCAGCAGATCACATCCTGCCTCATGAGAGAGCCAACGAGCTCAGAGCAAAGTACTTTAAACATAAATTGAATACTAAGGATTCCTCTGTCTTGTCTTACTCTCTTCTACTCTGGGTTAAGGTTTGATTCAGAATCCCGTAAGCCACCCTACCCCTGAACTTTGCTTTTTTGAAACATAGTATCAGAAGTGATGGATTTGCTTTTCACTGGAGAATTCCCTGTGCTTGGGGAAAAAATGCTGCTTTACTCTAGAAGCCAATTAAATTTTGGTGACTGCAACTGTAGTAGATAATTAGATACCTAAAAAAAACTAATCTGGGAGTGAGGGGGGACAGAATTTTCCAGATGAAATTCAACAGGAGCCCACTACCTTAGCATGATGTTTGGGAATTGGCCATCGTTACTGATGGCTGAATGGATGCTGACCTATTGCATCAATGTTTTGCAGCTTCAGCAGCAGCAGAACAGGTTAATGAAAATCAACCATGACCTGCGGCACCGGATCACCGTTGTTGAGGCTCAGGGGAAGGCGCTGATCGAGCAGAAGGTGGAGTTAGAAGCGTATCTGCAAACCAAGGAGCAGGAGATGGGCAACCTGCGAGCAGAGCTGGGGAAACTGCGAGAAAAGCTGCAGGGTGAGGAGAGCCAAAATGGGGAAGAAGTAAAGGTAAGAGGCACTTTAAATCACTTTTTAAACAGCTTTTTAAAAAGCTTTGGACTTCGTACCACGTACCTCTTCCTTGGATAAATGTGACTGATACACACCAGAGGCAATGGCGGGACTTGAGGACAGCATCTCGTGTTCAGGTGTGACTGCAGAGAGCAGCAGCACTCACTGCACTGTGACGGGAGAGGCCCCG